ATACCACCCCCCACCCCGCTCTCATCGGCGGCCTCCTCCACTCCAAAAAATTGCAAGAATCGCTCGAGGTTTTTGACGGGATGAGGTTACGAGGAAGAAAGCCGGATGCCGGACTGTATGGGAAGATCATCAATGCTTTATGTGATTCCCGCAGATTTCATGAGGCTTCCAATTATCTGGACGAGATGGTTATGAGTGGAATTGTGCCCAATAGATTGACATGGAGCCTTCATGTGAGGATTCACAACATGGTGATTCGAGGACTCTGCGGTGCAGGGGAGTTGATTCGAGCTTTCAGGGTTTATGTTTCGTCACGTAGACGGGGGATTTCCATTGAAGTGGAGACTTATGGGGTTCTGGTGGAGCTGTGGTGCAGGAAAGGGGAGGTTGAGAAGGCGTTGGGGGTGGTGGAGGAGATGGTGGTTGATGGCTGCTTGCCTGATAGCAGTGTGTGGTGGTCGGTTATGGAGGTTTTGTGGGGTGGGAGACAGGTTGGGGAAGAAGATGAGTTGGTGTGGGAAGAGCTGGTTTTTTGTGATGGGGATCATGAAGTTTATGAAGGTAAGGTGAGTTGAGTTGTGGTTTGTGTTAAGTTTAGGTAAAAAAATATTTTCGTGCGGACATCCGAACGAAGTGAGGAGAACTATAAAAATATTATGTCTGGGTCACTAAATGTTCAAACAATTATTGAATGTCCAGACTATGATGTGGATCACGCTACCCTACTTAGTCCATACCACGGGATGTCTGGAAGATGGTGTGGATCGCACCACGCCGCTTAGTCTATACAATTAAATGTCTGGATGATGGTGTGAATTGCACCACGCCTAGACGCAGAGAATAATGCGGATTACTCCTTTCCATTATGCGCATTAGCATGGTCTAATCCACACGGTTGCGCGCACAAAATGTTTTAAGTTAGTTTAGGGTTGGAAAAAATTGTGTTGAGATGGGGTTTAAAATGGTTGAATTCCCTTTAGTTCGTGCCATGGATGAAGAATTTGTGTTATATTCATCTAATCAGAGATGCACTTATCTTTAAGCGTTGTTTTTGTTATTTTGATGTTCATGGGAAATTATATGTTCAAGCATTAAGATTTTGAGGCATTAACATATGCCATCTAATTCATATGTATTTATAGCTGTAACACCCAGGGTGGGAGCTAACCTCTTTTTTGAAGTGGGGGAGGGGGGACAAGCTTCTGTTTTGATACTTTCTCAAAAATGTATTATGATGCATGATTCTCAAAGCATTTTGAGTGAGAAATTATTCCAAATGTAAATTCATGATCATATCCAAGCTTCGATTTCATTAAATTTATAATCGAACTGAGCGTCTCAGTAAAACAAACCTAACGATGCTAAACTTGATCCAACTTGGGATCATTCAAGCCCATATCAAGTCATTTAAATGCAGTGAAACTCTCTTGATGGTCGGTTGAATGATTAAATGGATTCAAAATTGGAGATGCTTCTAATTAGGGGTACGCGCCGTTTAAATAAATTCAAAAAACCGAACCGAACCATTTTATTGATTTGGTTCGGTTTTTAAAATAACTTTCAAATTACGGTTCTAAATTTTGCTTATTTTGACTTAGATGTTAAGATTTGAATTTTTTTTTTTTTAATTCGAATCGGTCAAAAATAGTTTAAATATATGTTGAATTGTAGCGGAAGGGGCGAGTGAACTGTGATTAGTGATCATTTTCATTTATGTCGTTGCATTTGTATGTGTTTTTTATTTTTAATATATCAAAATTTAAATTTCGGTTTATGTTGAACCAATCCGATCAAATCGAATTAAAATTCAGTTTGACTAGTTCGGTTCGTTTGAAGAATTATTTAGTTCGGTTGATTGGATCCTAGATTTCAGTTAATTTCAGCTTGCAGAATTTTCAAACCGATCCATCTGAATTGACCAAATGCACACCCATACTTATAATCAAATTGAGTGTCATGATGAGAGAAATCCAACGAGTCCAACATCATTTCTTTTTTTACATCAATAAACATTATCTAATTGAAGGAATCACTCTGAGCCGTCTGATAGAGTGATCTAAATTCATCTAGTATTTATAGAGGATATTGATATGCGTTAATTTTACGTCATTCTATCTGTTATTTTTCTTGCATTTTACATCTTAATTTCATTTATTTAATATTGATTTTTCGCTTGAGAAATGTATTTTGTTTATATTGTACACGATGCAAGAATTGAATACAAATGAGTAGGAACGAAAAAATCCAGCAAGAAAGTGCCTAGAAGCAGCGTGAACACGCCGAAAGTCGGCTTAACTACGCCATTGATCGAACCAAACTAGCGTGACCGGACCCGAAAATGGTGTGACCACACCATAAATTGCAGTAGGGTGGTGCGATCACATTACAATTGGGCGTAACCACGCCGGCCCTGGTAGAAATACGACATGAACACGCAGGAAACAAGCATGACCACTCTGATGAGTGGGAAACACTTTAGGAAGGAAATTTGATGACCCAAACTGTAGTTCTTGCTATAAAATCAGATCTTAGGGCCTCTAAGAGAGGGTTCTACATCAGAGAATGTTTGGAAGCTGAAAGAAGAGAGTTTGGTAGAGAATTTGAGGGATCTCTTAAGACATTTCTTTCTACTTTGGTTGAAACCTTCAAATAAAAGTTTTTCTTTACTTTGTGAGTTGTAAGAGATTTTGAATGAGAGGGGAAGTTGTTGAGTTTGCTGGAAAAATAATTTTTTGTAAGTTTTTGATCTTTATGTTGCTTGCAATGGAATTTCGTGTGGTATTTTTTTGCTATGATTTTCTTTATAATGAGTGACTGAGTGTTTTTTCATGTCTCTATGATGTAGGAAGTAGTGGATTTATTCTTGTTTATTTGTTAATCATTTTCTTGAGCTTTTCATGACCGATGTTATTGGTTAATCTTCGATCTTCATTTACTTCTAGTCTAGCCATCTAGGAAGTTAAAATGTTTCGTAAAACTACGACCTATAGTCGTTGCGTAATGGAAATGAAGGGTTAACCACAAAATGCTGAAGGATATACATATTGCAATAGAATTCTTCAATCATGTCAGGGGATCGAAAAAGTTATGCGGAATGTCATGAAAATTGAGGAAGCCTCAACTTTATGGATTCTAGCTTCTTTTAACTTAGACATATGCATAATGAGTATATTATCTCCGATTGACAACAACCACGTAAGAAAACATTTTGGAAAACCATGACTGCCGCAATCCCCGAATCACAGAGGCATAAGCCTTATCTATCTTGAAGAAACTCATGAAATTTTCCTCATATTTCAAGTTTTTCTTTACCGCAAAGTATTTTGTTTTGCTAGGAAATTGGGGCTTAAAAATTTTCTTTTGATAATCTTCAAGCTTAGTTAGCTGAATTAGTAAACTATAGTTTTTTTTTTGTGAAAGCGAATATTACATTTTCCAAGTGAGATAGATCAGCGTTACTCTTGAACCGCATTACTATTTGACATGTGCACTTGTGTTGTAAAACTGACTTACGTCCCGGTAAGTTAAATTCTATAAATAAAACCTCACATGAATGGGGACTTGAGACATGGACCTATAGAAGACTTAAAGGAGATCCAAGCTTCTAAGGACTCTTGAGCTTCACCACTATCCAATCACCGCCATTGAGCTCCACCGCCGTCGGACCATTCCTGTGAAGCTCTACCAAATCTAGACCACAAGTGTCAGATTGCTTCGTCGGGCTCTGCCATTGTGAGGCTAACACCGTCTTCAAGCTCCACAGCCACCAGACAGGCGAACCACCAGTGTTCGGTTGCCAACGTCAAGCTCCAAAACCATAAGACAGCCCTCATTGAGCTCCACCACTATCAAACTGTTGTCGTCAAGCTCCACTACAACTAGATCAACAGTGCACGAGCATCTCCCCAAGAAAATCATTGCTCGACTTTCGCCACCAGTGTCTCTAGAACCATCACCACCATCAAATCGTTGCCACCAAAGACACTGGCATCAAATTTATTGACAATTGATCTTTAAAGTTGGCTTATCTTCACGACGGTTGGATAGCTTCTTGTCTTTTGTACCACTTCTCTAGCGAAAGACACGCCCCATTTATATAATATTGTTTTCGGGTATTCAAAGGTTGGCTAATTCTTGTAACTTATAACAAGATAATGCTAATTCTTGTAACTTATAACAAAATAGTGGAATCATTTCTACTGAGTTAGATCTTGTGATTTTTATCCCTTCGGGTTTTCCATTTAAAAACTCTTGTTATCTTTTATATTAAATTCTCTTTACTTGTATATGTGTTGAATCTTCGTACAATACTAAAATGTTAATATATCACATGATGGTAGAGTGATATATTTATGGTTTTAATAAGTCTTTAATATTATTTTTTCTACCTCAAACCTTTTGTTCAAAATTTAAGATATAATCTAACAATCCGATTACATGTTGACTCGTTTATTATTCAAATCAGAATTGAGTTAAAATTATGAACTCAATTGTCATTCGGGTCAACCCAAAAAACCTAAAATTAACCAATCACTATTAATGCCCACTTTTGGCCAATATATGGGTTGGGTTAAATGGATTATATTTGGATTAACTGGGTTTTTACGAATAAGAAAGTTACATAATTAAAAAGGTCAACTGGTTGGACTAAGTATGAAAGTCAAGTGGCTTTGGGTCAAGTTAAGTTGCAGTCAAATATTTTGACTCCCATGATAAATACTTCAGATGTGGGTCAATTTCATGTGAAATATATTGACTCTTATGCTATTAAATATTAAAGGTTATGTAAATAAATATAAAAAAAATTAAATATTAGTTATATAAATAAAAAAAATTTGTGTATTTGTATAGAAAATATCACATCCGGAGTTTGGATGCAAGCTGCATCCGGATCCGGATGCAGGTTGCCCCTTACCCTGGAGGTAATATTTTCTCGTGTTTGTGTGGGTGTATTTGAGTCGTAAAAGTAGCTACATGTCACATCCCAAAAGAGCTCTTAGGGGTAGTGGGCAGCCCAGGACTTAAATATTATTTTTCAGCTTACACCTAGCCGATGTGGGACTTTTTGTCTGTGATATTCTCCTCCAACCAATCACGTGACGCCCTCGTCACGGATCGGCTCCACTGAGGGACCCACTGGACCATGAAGAGTCCACACACATGACAGACAGTAATCTGCTCTGATACCACTTGTCACCTCCCAAAAGAACTCTTAGGAGTAATGGGCAAGGCAACCCATGACTTAAATACTATTTTTCGGCTCTACACCTAGCCGATGTGGGATTTTTTGTCTGTGACACACAACTCTAGAGAATTAGCGTGTGCCCAAGCCCGACCCTCTTATTTATTATGTGACTTCCACTTTAATTCTAGATCTTTAAAACTCGTTAAATATGAATTCATTTTCTTATCTCAATTAATTTATTAATAGTATTATTCTTGGAGCATTTACATACACCCAATTCCTATGCATTTACATATCTAACACTTTACTTTTACATTAATACCATCTGAAACTTTCATATCACAAGAAAAAAAAAATCACTATTTAACTTTTAAAAACTAAATCACAACATATGTGTTAAATGTGTTAGATATGTAATTTTGTTTTTAAAAGTTATATATATATATCCTAAACCCTAAAATTAAATAATTTTTTTTGTTAATGCAGTTTAGTAAATTTATAAAATTTGGTCCTCCTATATAAGGAGATCTAATGGTTCAAAAAGAAGAAAATACAACATAGGAGGGCCCATCAATAGAAGATCAAAAAGCTCATTTATCCAATTAGATGCAATCATCTGACGATGGTTAACCAAGTCGGAAGAATGTAAGAAAGAAAAGTTATTTGAGCCCTATCCGATCAAACTAGAGCAAGATAGATAAACACCCGAGCTAACCACCACCGAAAAGCTGAGTGAAATCATTGATGACCTGTCACTCAATAAATCCGACTCGAGAAAAGAATCCAGTTCATCGTCATCACCAGCTGTCCCACAAACGCTCTCCAGATTCTTTATCAAAGACCAAGAATTGACATTACAATAAAACTTTACAATCTTTAGAAGGGATCCCCTCATCAAAGAATGAGCTATGTATCGAGTTACGTTGATTTACCCTCTGCTTAATATTCTAGTATCATTTTGCCGACATGAGCTCCTCATCCAGGATCGAGGGTTAATCGCCAGACTAGATCAATCGATCGATAAAGTCAAGCTGACCCAAAGCTAATCAAGTCCAATCGACCACTTTTTTATCCACAAAGTCAATAAGTGGAACAAACTCTTTCTTATGAGAAATGACTGATAGACAAGACATTTTACTATTCATTACTATACACTCTACGAATATATTTTGAATGCACAGGATTAATTAGTGGTATGTATATAAGCTCCCGATATAAATATAATCAATCATATAATATAGAATTTATGTTTTTTTTTGCATCTATTTGTTAAAATGAAATGTCCATAAAATAAGAGATCAATTATAAGTACAATTAGCGAATTAATTAAAAAAAAAATGGAGGTTTGCTCCGTGACAACATGGTTAAGATTTCCATTAATGTTCAGTATCTCTTCCAAGACACTCTAGGGCGACCTTCGAGCTAAAAGGATCTCTGTCTCTCATTCTCTCTCTCCTCTCTCTCTCTCTCTCTCTCTCTCTCTATCTCTTCTTTATTTCTTTCCATCCACCAATCTCTCTCATTGGCAGTAAAACGTCTAATATGAATCAGTTTGCCTCATCTCCACTCCAACCCTCCCTCTCCTTTTATGCCTCCCTCTCTCTCTCTCTCTCTCTCTCTCTCCTATTTCTCACTCTCTCTCAAAACTCAAAGCTTGAAAAATGAGGAGAGAGAGCAACCAAAGTATTCCAACTACTTGCACCAATAGCATCACCAATCTTGACCGCAAAGCAATCTGCCCACATTCCCAAAGAATAAGTCCATCAATCTCTCTCTACTTTTCTTAATATAATTTTTCATTAATTACGTCTTTAAGATAATTTTATTACAAACACAAGACACACGTATCTACCAAAAATCAATAAAAAAATTATACACAGCCATATACGCAACTCTATAAAATCTCCTGTTTGATCTTCTCTCTGCTACTTTCCTCACCCATCACAGTGCTCTTCACCTCCTAATTAGTCTCTTTGGTGAGAAAAACAATTAAGATCCTATAGCTAATTAAGAAGAATCATAAGTACACAAAACCCAAAACAGAAAGAGAGAGAGAGAGTTCTAGAGAGAGAAGCTAGCCAACCACCTTATCTTTCTTTTTTTTTTTTCAAAGTTTATATTTTTTCTTATCCCTACTTCTTTTCTTTCCTCTCTTTACCTCCTCTCCATTGTGTCCTCATTCCATCTTATTCCTTTTGTCTCTCTCTGCTTTAGAGAGAGAAAGAGTTATCTCTTGTGGGAAAAGAGAGAGCTCCCAAGCCTTCTTCTGGTCTGGCTCATGAAAGTTGGTAGGTGGCACTGAGGAGGAAGATGAAATGGTGTAGCAACGATGAGGATGACGATCACCACCGTCCGATCTGCGACGGCAAGTTCTCCTCAACTGCCATGATTGCCAAGCTATGCTCCTCTTGCGGCCATCGCATTCAAGCTGATCATCAGGTGCATATGTGCAACACTCAAAAATTACATATGTTCAAAAAATTTAATTTTGATTATCTTCATTCATAACAATTTCATGTAAATCATGAAGACAACAATAAAAATTGAATTTTTCTCTTCTTATTAAGGATAAAGTGCTATGAAAAGGACTCGAAAAGTAGATTAATTATCTGTTATATCATCTGTTGATTATATGGGTTGCATGTGTAAATAAAAATAAAAGCAGGGTGGTGGCGCAATTGAAGATCTGCCTGGGCTGCCAGCCGGAGTGAAGTTTGATCCGACGGACCAGGAGCTTCTAGAGCATTTAGAAGGGAAGGCACGGCCTGATCTGCAGAAGCTTCATCCACTCATTGATGAATTCATTCCAACCATTGAGGGTCAGAATGGTATTTGTTACACCCACCCCCAGAAACTCCCAGGTAAATTTGTAATAATATAATATAACATATAATATAAATAAATCATGCGATAATAATAACAATATATTCAGTTCAAAGAGAGCTACATATAAGACTGAAATCAGATTAAACAAGCTACATATGCTAGAGCTCTGTGGCATGTAAATTTGAATGAAATTTTGCAGATTATATATGTTAGAGGAGCAGGGAATGTATTTTTGTAATTTGACAAGGTTTCACGTACTCAACTAAATATATATATATATATATATATATAATGCTCTTACAAATTCAACCCTAAAAAATTAGGAATTGATTTACATACATACCAACTCCTATGTATTTACATATCCAACAACTAGACTTAAATTTTTACATACATGTGATATTGCCTGTGCATGTAAAAGTGTATTTCACTTTTTATAAGTTAAAAAGGTGGTATTTTTTTATGTAATATGGAAGACTTGAGGGGTATAAATATAAAAAGTAACAGTTTCAGTGTTAGATATGTAAATAAATATGAATTGGGTGGTATGTATGTAATTGCTGCAAAAAAAAAATTAAGTATATATGACCATTAAGTGAAGAGCATCAACAAACAACGCTTCAATGATGTTTTTGTCACAAGTGAGAAATAAAACTATGGTTTTAATGATTTATCCAGTATTTGATCATCAGTCAATCATAAAGACACATTCAACTCATCGGCAGTGACTTCAGGGTTTCCACAAAATATGTCCATCCAATTTAAAATATCACTATCACTAATCTAGTAATTTGTAATGGGGTGGGGCATTTTGGTTTGGTATAGATCCAATAGGTGACATATATAGTTAGCCTATCCATTGCATGGTCCATCAAGGCATCAAATTTCTTTCCCACAAATGTCTATAAATTTCCCAAAGAACAAGCTAAAAGGTTAATGTACTTAAAGTTATCACTTTTCCTAAAGAAACTATACCCATTGAATTGATTTTAGCAATTATTCACTTCGAGCTTAGTCACTAACAAGAATTGGAGGTCTTCCTAAGTACCTATTGATCTCCAAGTTGACCTAATAGCTCTTGTTTTAATTTAAAATTGAGTATATATGTGATCATA